TTGAGAAGTTCAGGTGGTGCTGCGATTGCTAGCTGTCTCACGGCGTTGAAGTTAGGCGCATCGTGGAGAAGTGTGCATCGGTGTGGAGAGAAACGTGGCGTGCCGTGGTGGTGTTGTTCGCGAAGAACTGTTGCCCGGCAGCCTCGACTTCTGCTCGCTTAAATGTCACTGGTGAGGTGCTGCTCATGAGCTTCTGGGCGTGGTGTAGGTGCGAGGCAGGGCTGCTGGACGCCATCGAAAATGGGGGTCGTCGGACAGGAATCGAGTATGGTGTTTCTGCCGGGCGTTGTACCAACATGGCACGATCTTGGGACTAGCTATCGGTTGATTTACACGGTTCTATGACTGGGACTCGTTTGAACTCGTTCGAGCTTGGAACGGAGTTTCGGTTTTTCCTATGTGACGCCGACGAAGATTAAGCTCGCCAAAAATATTTTCCATAAAATGATAATCAATCGAGGTATACCTAACCTGCACACCATAAAATGAAAAAAAAAAACTGAAAAAACGAAGAAAATAACCGAAAAAAGACATAAAGATCTAAATAGAAGAAAACAAATGACAAGAAACAAAACGGACCAAAACCGAAAGAAAAAACATAAAATGGGGGAAAAAGAAATGAAAAATAACAACGAAAAACGCAACAAAAATGGGACAAACAACTCCCCCACACTATGACCTTTGTTCGTCCCGAACAAAAGAAAAGAAAAGACACGAAAACAAGTAAACGAGCATGGATAACAGTTCAAATAAGACAAGCCTCAGATTAGTAACTCAGCCGAGGGGACTTCCAATGACCAATCACGCATATCTCAACTACACTTGAATGCAACATCTTGAAACGACAAACTCTCAACCATGGGAGTATAACGAATAGATGTCTCACTCAGTTTCTTTCATGAGTATAAAACTGGGACGCTCAAATTGGTCGATCATCATGCATCAACATAAGCTAGCTCGTCGTCTATTCATACTCTAAACAATTAAAGATCATGACTTGGAAATCAAAAGGACTTATGGGTTGCAGTGAAGGTATCAAGGAAGGACAAATATAAAGATAGAGTGGTCCAAATAAACAATCACGTCCTCGAGCATATAAATCACTCGAATATCTCACCATCTATCCAAAAATCAGCACAACATCAATCATTCCCATCAAAACTCCATGCAACAATTACATATGCTCAAGCTGAATTGCACTTCAAGTACTCGACTTTTCTTTTTTTTATTATTATTATTTAGGGAGTTTATTTTATTTTATTTTATTTCTAACAAGACTGAGACATCAGGACGACATTCTCTAAGTTTAAACATTGGGGGTCATCCAAGTTTCCTAGAGTAGTTTCCTAATACTCATTACTCGTAATAAAATTTCAACAAGTAAGCGAAATAGAATCCTTTAGTCCGTCTTGCGAATTTCCTTTATTTTTGTCAAGCACCCAAACGGCAACTCAAGCAAGTTATATACCTTCTCCAAACACATATTAGGAGCTCCGTCATCATAACAAATGCATTGTCAAATCTTTAAATAATTCAATCAAATCGGTTGACAAAAAAAAATATAGTTTAAGGCTCAACGGGCTACTAATGGAAATATAATCTCAAGGGTCAATGAAAAAGGCTTAACGAGCAATGTCAAAGAAATGCCTCAATCATATTCACAAATCATTACTTCAATCAATTCATTTCAAAACAGACCAAAAGCAAGTTCTGATCAACAAGAATCCGACCAATATCTCTCAAGAAACAAAGTAAGACTCAAACCCTCACATAAAGTAAATAAATGTCCAACAAAATGACACATCAAATTTATCAAAATATACTAGTAGATGTCCTCATACCATCAAGAGAGTTGTATATTTGTATTAGATTAAAAGTAACAATGTTAGAAGTGTTTATGATTGTTGTATATTTGTATTAGATTAAAAGTAGCATCAGATGTGCACATACCATCACGAGAGTTGTATATAGAAAGTCACTTGTCTAAATTCCAAGTATATTTGTATATTGATAGTAAATTAGTAATGATATTGCAAGTGGCTATCATTACCCTTATTTATACTTAAATATGAAGTCTAACTTTTGAACTTTTCTCTTCATAATTCTCCCGACGACTTTCCCCACTAATAGACAAAAATGACAACTAAAATAAGAGATATATATCTATCTATCTATAAATTATAAACCCTAAAAATAATGCTAAAGGTTATTAAACCACCCAAACCCAAATAATGGATCAAGCAACGTATAAGATATTAAACTATTAATTTAACTAACTAGTGCTAGTTCACGAGTAAAAACCAAATCCGCGTGATCTAGTGATGCTTTTAAGGGCATTATTTCTAACCAAATCCTCAAATTAATTTAGCGTAGTATTTAAACATAGAGATGTTAAATGGTCTTTGGCCCGACGGGCCTACCCGTTTAGCCTCGGATAGAAACATGATTAGGGCTTTTTATTGGTAGTCCATTTAAATCAGGGCTTTTAGGCCCGAACCGTTTAAACTGAAGCCCGTTATGGCTAGCTCGAAACCCGCTAGGGTTGGCCGGTTTAACTTGAGTTGGTCGTTGTACATGTTTGCAGCAAGTAATAATATGCTCTTAGATTCATTGTATATTACAATTTTGTTATTCCACTTCACATGTAAGTATGAGCTGTAACGGATTATAATGATTTTGAAAGATTATTATTAACAATATTCTTATTGTAAATTCACACCAAAATATTTAAGTCAGTCAGAACGACTAATAGGAAACACATAAAACATAGTGATAGAATTTATAATGATATAATGGTCGTAAAAATTTTCAAAACGTACAAAATAAGTAGTAAAATAGTAATTGTAAGTAATAATTCAAATATTTTTTCTTTTTGAAAAAAAAATATGTTATTTAAGAGTTTGTGGGGTGTGTTCATATATGATGTGTAGTTGTATATATAGAGCGAGAAATACTAAATCCCGTTGAAAATAATTGTTAATTAGTCAGTAACTTTTTATAATTTTTTATTTTTATTTGATATTTTTTGATACATTATTATTATTTACTACCTCCTATTCATTATAAATGTCGTTTTGACTTTTTTGATT